GTTCTCAGATGTTTATTCTTTTTCACAACAAAACGGGGGAGGGGAGGGGGGAGGAGGCTAACCTCCGTTTCAGGATTCATTTGCCTGGAAAATATGAAAAAAAAAAAAAAAAACCACGTCGGATTTTGATGAATTTTTCAGGGACATTCTGTGGCTAAAAAGTGTGTTGATGAGAACACGACAGTGCCTTAAGTTTATATAACAACAGATCCACTGAATTTACCTTGAAGATGCGGCTTCATACGGTTGTGTTCTGAGGCAAGGATTCAAGCGACAACTAACCCCGAAACAAGTTGTCCCCGCACTCTCAGTATTCACTTCCTGTTTAGTCTTTCACAATAAAACCGGATACAACAAAACAGATTGTACCACACACACACCATGCATCCAACCTGTCGACACCATCTGCGCGCACTGATTGCAGAAACTGAGAGCACAGATTAGAAATCCGTGCACACGGATCACTAATCTGTGCTCTCAGTTTAGCAATCCGTGCGCACGGATTTCCGGCGGCTGTTTTTCTTTTTTCACCACTGACCCCCGGCGGGCTCCGTAGTTTTGTTCCATGTTTGCAGTTTGACGTAGGGAATAGAAACTGTTAAATTTGAAACACTTTTCCTTGACCTTTTACACTGATGTTGGATAACTTCCTTTGTGTGAGTTGTGTTTGTCAAGAGTACACATTAATCTCTGAGCTCAGTTCTGCCTGTTTGCTCCCTAAGCTGGGCCCATGTGTGAGTGAACCCCTGCAAAGAAGTGGACTCAGTCACAGATTTTTMCAATTGTTTCCAGAAACCCACTTCAGTTTCACAGAGACTGCTAACATCCTCTACAGTTTTTTCACTGACAATGCACACTCTGAGCGCTGTCACATATTGTGAGATCTTTCATGAAATCGTGCATAAAATAATTTACAAGGTTTGACCAAAAAGGTTTGAACTCAATCGTCAGTGGTGGGCACTAGTCCCCTAAAGCTCAAATAAGCTCTAATTGCGGACCTAAATTTCTCCTTTGCGCTTTAGGGGTTTTACTAATTTCTTAAAATGATGTGTGGATTTGTGCTTTCTAAATTTAGAATTGAGCAGCGCTAATCGCAAATAATTAGAGTTGCAAAGTAACCAAGTACAAATACTTTGTCACTGTACTTAAGTAGAAATTTTGSATATCTGTACTTTACTCGAGTAATTATTTTTCAGCATACTTTTTACCTTTACTTATTACATTTTTACAAAATTATCTGTACTTTCTACTCACTACATTTTGGTAAGAAGTAGAAAGTTGTTACTCCTATTTTATTCTTTAAAAATACTATCCTGATAAATTGTGTCTCCTATAGAGTGAATTTAATTGTGTTTGGATGAGAAGTATAAATATATACCATTCTGACACACTATTAGCTTGTACACAACCCATCACAGCTGCACGCTGTTAGAAAATATATTTTTTGGAGAAGTCACCTCCCAATAAATGTCATTTTGGAAAATCTAACTGCTCACTTTTACTCAGTACTTTTACTTTTAATACTTAAGTAGATTTTGTGTCAGAAATTTTCTTTTGATACTTAAGTACAAAAAATAAAAAAATATCAGATACTTTAAGACTTTTACTCAAGTAATTTTTTTAGAGAAGACTTTAACTTTTACCAAAGTATTTTTATGATAAGATTTTTGTATTTTACTCAAGTATCACTTTGAGGTACTTTATACAACACTGCAAATAATGTTTCATATTCAAACGTCAGTTTTGTCTAAGGTAAGGAGAAAAAGCCGTCTAGTCTCACTACGTTTTGTAGCAACATAATTCATTAAAACTTCATCATCATTGTATTGAACATTGGAGGGGAAAGCTGTCTCTATTTAACACAATGAATCTCCACTGTGAGGAACAGCGACCCCTCAGTCTGTGTTCACAGAGCTTTATACTCTGACTTCTGACTCTTCTCAGTGATGGTCTTCACTTATACAGACTGTAGTGTTCCCACAATTCTTTGTGAGGCAGGAAGCAGTTGAAGCTTCTTTACTGGGCGATAATCCACCTGCGGTTCTGATCTGCTGTGCAGGTGGTACCTCCTCTCTGAGGAACACCGTGGCAATAAATATTAAATAAATAAATAATAATAAATAAAGAAAYACGGAACAGTTTAAATTCACGCTCTAATTTTGAAAAAAATGGGTTCCTGTTCTTCACCCTGTAGCCTACCCAGAATGCATTGCTTTCTTTCTGAAGCCCTGCTGTAAACATAAGAAAATGACCAAGTAGTAGCAGAACTGGCAATCCACAACTATTTTTGTTTTACAACCATGATTTAAGTCTGTTTCTACAAATCACCTCCCCATTCTGCGCTATGTGCTAATCTGTCAAAGACAATGATCTTACCACTAGATGGCAGTAAAGTGCTGATTTTTCTCTTGCTTGAATGTTGTCTGGTAAACGGGGATTATGTTGCGCTTTAAAATTAGCTTCCACTAAGTTTTATTGATCATAGTGCTTTTGAACATGCAGACCTAAATAAATAGACTAGCGCTTTAGAAATTGTGCAACTATAATTGGAATTAGCGCTGCCCGCCTCTGTCAATCACCAATTTTGGTATGAAAGGCAGCGGATTAGATATTATTAATCAGTTTAGTTTATCTTTGTTTGTTTGTTGTTTGTCTCTTGTGTAGTTGAAGCTGGTCAACCCCACTCAGTATCGCTTTGAGCATCTGGCCACGCAGCTAAAGTGGCGTCTTCAGGAGGGCCGTGGTGAGGCTGTCTATCAAATCGGAGTGGAAGACAACGGCCTGCTGGTTGGTCTGACTGAGGCCGACATGAAATCTTCTCTCAAGACCTTGAAGAGGATGGCAGAGAAGTAGGAGAAATCTATATATATTTTGTTTGTGGCTATATTTATTTTAATGACACCACAATAAAGGTAATCTTAAGGGACTTTGCAGAGCAGAAAGAGAAAAACTTTAACCAAATGAATAAATACAATTCAAAACTGATTGGAAAAATAAGTTCAGATGAGTCATTTAACTCCAATTCATTCTAAGCCTCTAAGCTGCAGTCCAAATCAATGCATTTAGGGTCAATATACTCCAATTTAGTGAATAGGTTTAAAAAAGGTGAATTTGTAAAAATGTTTTTGCTTAAGTTTTAGTCAAGAAAACCTACAGTTTTGTTCTAAACTTTACTTTAATCGATTACTATTCTGAGCTTCCTCAACAGGGCAGGTAGCAGTGGGGAGGGATACCCTGATACTGTAACTGTCTTTAGTTGTCTCACTTTGTTGATAGTCTTCAYGTCATGAAGTGGTGGAAGGTTGTTGGAAGAAGAACTCAAATACAACACAGGAGACAGACTATTGCAAAAACAAAAACCTTTCCTAATACTGAAGATGCTCCACAACCCAGACAGACGACACAATATCCCCAAATAGCCTATATGCCACGGACATCCTGTCCAGCACTGGATGCCACTTCCTAACACTTCTGGTTCACGGTCAGTTCATTGTTAGTGAAAGATTTTTTCACCGACAACGACTCTTAATGATCGCCACAGTACAGAATTATCATATTACATCTACCAACATTAACACAGGAGACGTACAGGTCCAGCCAAGTGGAAAAAATCACTCCAAAGTGGATTAAAGACATAAAAACAAAGGAAAGACGTTCGTGTTTATGGCTGTGTCCAAAACGGCAGGCCGGGTCCTCCGAAGGTCGAATTTGCCGGCCGCATACGTC